CCAACTCCCTGACAGCCTCGGCTGGTTTGGGGGACTCCCGACCAGTATGCCGTGTAGGGGCCATGAACCGTGGTGTCACATCCTTTCCTCTTGGTTTCGTTCACGCACAGAATATCAATGCAACGTTCATCCATCATCTGACATACTCCATCTACCTTACCATCCATCCCTCCTCTTACATTCAACGTAGCGAAGCGGCTCTCCGTGGGCCGCTTTTCGCCCCCGCAAAAAAGGAGACGTGATGGGTGGCGAACCACATCACAGATAGATAGTTATTACAAAAAAAATAATATGGAGCGTACACGTACAGCAAAAGTGTGGAAACATTTAAAAAAAATAAACGAATCAACAGCACAGTGCTCGTTATGTCCAAAATATTTCATGCAAAGGGTCGAATACTTCAGGCCTTGACAGACACCTCCAAAGAGTTCACAATATTTCTGTAAATCAACCGCCGGAAGAATCAAAATCATTTATACAGCCTGGACATCTTGCGAACCGGTATCAAAAAAATTAAACGTGAAAAACAGTCTGAAATTACAGGATATATTGCAAAAAAGTCTTTGCCTGAAATTATTTCCCGCTTGGCAGCACAAGATGGACTTACCATAAGGGCAATCACAAGGAGTAAGTTCATTCGTGAGAGTATTACCCTGCGAGGATATAAAATGCCTAAGAACGAGACTGATATCATGAAAATCATCTTGAATTATTATGAAGAAAAAAAAGAAGAAATGATTCAGAATTTTAAAGATTTTGTCGCTTCTGGTGCACGTTTCAGCCTTTCAGTTGACGAATGGACCCGCGTCCGAAACCGAAGGTACTTTAATTTGTGTTTGCATGGTAAGGACTCCATCCTTAATCCAAAGTTTTCAATTTGGGATTAATCTATATACCAGGTAAATGTGGTGCTGAAGAGACCAGGAAAATAGTAGAAGACACATTAATAAGATTTAAATTGGTTTTTGAAAAACATATTGTGGAAAGCTCCATCGAGATGATTTTATGTATGAACCACGCAATCCATCTAGGAGTCGTAGATACATTTTATAAAAAGAAAGAGGCTTCTACCACATCCATAGTTTTTAGCTGCGAAGATAGTGAGGATGAATTCATGGAAAACTCTACTGATGATGAAACGGACTACGAAACAAACTACCAACCAATAGATGAAATTAAAAGAGTGCTTGATGAAACAAGGTTTTTAGTGAAATTATTTAGAAAAAGTCCATTGAAAAACAGCCAATTACAGAATTATGTGAAATCTGAATTTGGGAAAAAACTCAGTTTACTACTGGATGTTAAAACAAGGTGGAATTCCATCATTGATGGCAGAACGGTTTCTGAAGCTCAAAAATTGCGTGAAGAAAGCGTTAATTAATATAAATATTGTTGCGTGAATAGGTTAACGTCATACACTAGCGCCATCTAGTGTCAGGAACGAGAGCGAGGGGAGCTTTGCAGAAAATGACATCACAAATCTTTCAACCGACAGCGCCATCCGAAGAACTAAGTTTCTAGAAAATCTACACTCGAACACTCGTCGCTTTGCGCGCATTTACTTGAATATTCCGGATGCTTCATTGCTAATTTGTATATATAGGCGCTGCAAGATGCGATCGGGGCAGTATTGGATTTGGCGAGACAAGCGAAGCTTCGGAGCGGAATAAAGTGAATTATTGTGTTTAATTATTAGTGTTTTAAGTTTTAATTTGTGTAAAGTAAATTAAAGTGTTAATTTAGGTAATTTTATCGGCAATTTTTATTGTCACGAACCTCAAGCTCGTAACCATATGTTAGATAAGTGGAATGAAGACAATCTTCTTCTCTTGCAGTCAATTGTTGATTTGTTGCAGCCAGTTAAGATAGCTGTGGAAGCCTTATGTCGACAAAACGCTTTATTACTTACTTACAGCCGAAGCAATAATTGACGTGTTACTCAAAAAAATTCAATCGACAATGACTAATAAGAATTTGGCTACGCGGTTCTTCGAAACTTTAAAAGCTCGCCTAGAAGAGAGAGGACCACAACGAGTTGTGCTTGTTGAAATATTTGCACACAGGCCACCACACCTCACAGTCTCAAAACACGGTCTTTTTCAACTCGAATATTAGTAAAACTGCACTAATTGGCTTTGCGGAAGAACTGTATTGTAGGCTTTTTGAAAATATCCCTAGTATACGGACACCAGACATGGAAATAATGGGCGCTGAACCTAGTAACAGTAGCTTTCAAGTACACAACGAGCCTAACGATGACGAGTCTTTTGTAAATCGAATGGAACAAGCAATAAAAATATCCAGGAAAATGTACCCGAGATTTTGAAAAAAAAAACAAGAGCGACATTAAAAAAGGAGTTTCAGTTGTTTGAAGCAACCGGAAAACGTACCGAAAGTTTAACTACCGTATAAAGCCTTAAACACAATGAAACCGACATCTGTTGAAAATGAGAGTGTTTTCCTTGTCCAGTGGCGTTATTATAAAAATCAGAAACAGACTGTCGGACAAAGCTGTTGACGCTCTGATTTTTTTAAAAGTCAATTTTATTAAATCAGCAAAGAAATCGAATTATTGTGTTAGTTGAATATTTAAAAGACTGATCTGTAAGTCTGTTTTAGTATTTATACTTATATTATTTAATTATTAAACAAGTCTGTGATTATGATAATTAACAATGGTGTGATTATGACCAATGACTAGATATAGATACTAGAAATACTAGATAATAGTAGTTATTAAGAATTAGTATGATTTTCAACTAAGCTCATTTTATAACTATAGCTTAAAAGTGAATTTGTGTGTGATTGAAAGAAGTAAAAAAGTTAAGACTGTCATTAACGTTAGTTATTAAGATTTAATTTTATGTAAATGTTTATTAAATGTTGATTTTTACAATAAATTGCCTTTTTAAATAAATATATATAGCCTCTTAAAATAAAAAACAAAAAAAATCATAAAAGTCTCGAAGTCCCGGGAATTCCCGAGACTTCGAGACTTTTATGATTCCCGATTACGTTCATTTTTTTGTATATCGTCAGCAAAGGCGAACAAACAAGTATATGGTTTCATTTAGTGCATATATGTGGGACCCACTCTGTATATATATATATATATATATATATATACAAGAATTGCTCGTTTAAAAGTATAGGATATGTAAACCAAATAACAAATTCAGTTTGTAGGGGCGGCGTAAGTATATACACTTCTCTACGTCGACGTGTGGGTGTCGTAAGAGAGCACAGAGATAAGCAAACTAGGAGATATGCAGCGTCTTACTTGTGCTTGCTGTGTGTAACAGAAAAAATAAAATCTTTTTTATTTTTTATTTTATAGGATAGGGTGACAAACGAGCACACAGTCCACCTGATGGTAAGTGGTTGCTGTGGCCCATAGACATCTACATCTATCCTCGATTACGAATCAAAATGCAGATGCGTTGTCACCCGTGAGGACTGAGATGGAATGCCTCGTTTCCAGTAAAAAGGGTCTCCGGTTCTCTGCACTCACCATAAGAAATACAGCAGCATTAAGCTACTATTTCACGCTGGTATTCTGTGAGAGCGTGGTCCTTCCCCGGTCGAGCCGACCCATTCGTGCTACAACTATACTACTAATATCTACCACGTAAAGTCAAGTTGAAACAACAATGGCTGTAATGAGGCAATCTATGCGGAAGGCCTACGTTAACAATAGAGTTTTATAGCGTGTAATCGATAATATGGAATAGTGTATTTACTTATAGTAAATGTAAATATGACGTTTATATCTTTGGAAAACGATTAGTTGAAAATAGTGATTTTCTATGTCGTTCACATTCTTTCTAATTTGAAATGAACTACAAGATTATTGTAGTAGCTACCTATATTTTTATACTTTATGCAAATTCGTGTTAGAGAGCACAGATTCTAGAAAAAAGGGCAGGTGGAGTGCGCTGATCCAACACTAAGATAATATTTGATTATGTGTGCGTCAGTGTGTGTTTCCAATAAAAGTCCATTACATATCGTCGTATTAGTATGTAATGACATGTTAAAGCAGTATAATTGTAATTATCAATAGGAAATGTTTTATTGAACTCTATTAACATTTTTAAAAGTTGCCCCTCTTTCTAGGATTTAAAAAAATTACATTGTATAGCAAAAAATGTTTACTTTATTAAACCGAGAATTTTTTGTAAAAATCGGTTCACTAGATTCCAAACTTAACATAAACAAACAAATAAATCGCAAAAAGCTCTTACTTTATAATTTTAGTGTTAATAAAAGCCACTTGTTACTAAACATTACACTCCTCGATTCAATAAGTATCTAATATACCGCTTATTTTCAAGTCATGAGAAGAATTTATATCAACGTACAAACATTTTTGCATTACGTTCCCTTAATTTCTAGTAAATAAATGTATCATCTATGCATGTATCTCTATTTCAGTAAAAATAGTTTATGTAAGCTGGCCACACTAGTTTTTTTCGATAAGGTTTTTTGTTCCTAGTCATTAGTATCAATTATCTCGGGACGAAATAATAAAATTGTCAAAATATTGTTACTTACCTACGTAGTGATATACCCTTTTATTTTTTTGGTTTTAGGGATGAATTTTTTAGAATGCTTAAATGTACAAGACGGCATAATTAAATTAAATTTGTCACGTATTGTACAGGTATTGAACGCGAGGCGCGAGTTAGTACTTACTTTTAAATTTTCATTTGCTCTACTGGAGGCACTTGCGTGTTCTTCTGCGTTCCGTCCGACTTTGCTTTATTATCTGAGTTTAGCTTACAGTAGATATTAGCTACTTTAGAATATGTTTAAATACATAACTAAAGCCGTTACAAGTGTTGCAATTTTTTGTTCATTTACAATAAATGCACAGTTAAATTAAAAATGATGAAACATTACAATAAAAACTGTATTTCTAGAAACATCTGCGTACAACAGTTCATTTTTAGTTACTTCTCTCGGCGTTCTGTATGATTTTCATAGACGTATATACATCGTCAGTTCACAGTGACCGTTGACTCCACAGTTTTATACTTTGGTTTGCTGTGTGTAAAGGGAAGATACCGGTACTTAATCATGTGCTGAAAAGATATAACAGATTATTTAAAACTACCAAGAACAATACAGGGTGTTAGTGTAAACACCGTTGTCCTTGAAACCAGTGGTTTGGTTTTACTTATAGAACGTAAATTCAATGAAAAATAACAACATTTTTTTAGTAAAATCTCAATTTTTCCTTAATTCCTCAGTTTATGCCTGTCCTACGCCAAAGTAAGTCCTAAGCGAAAGTATGAAGGAAAAGTTACATCACAGGTTATGTGTACCTATTGTGTTTTTATTGGAATGTTGTGTAGGTAGCTAGCGCGGGCGGTGATCTTTGAATGAATGAATTTACAGACGGTGTCGGACAGAAACTTTTTAAATTTTATTTATATATTTACTGGTTTCAAGGATAACGGTGTTTACACTAACAACCTGTATAATGAAATATAATATACACATAATGCTTTGTTAAAGACGTTAAAATTAATAAGCTGATGCCCACATATTAAATAGAAATGAGCGTTTTACCTAGCTTGAAAAGCACCGTCTTCCCGATTCAGTTGCGTGTAGTGTTGTTGGGGTTGTGGTAGCGGCAATGGTGTACGCAATCGAGGGAGGGAGGAAGATGCTATTCAAATGCATCCAATAAGGGCTGAGCTAATAAATCTTCCGTTCACCAGATGTCCCTAGTCGCGATTGCGTATATACACAAAATATATCCTCAGTGGTGTGCTCTTTAATTATTTACACATTATGAACTGTTTTTTAAATCTAATTTTAGGAATATTCGTAGTGGTTTATTTATTTCTTATCTAATTAATACAAAACACCTCAACCGTCCAGGTTTCAGAAAAAGTTGTGGAAGTCCTCATTGCTATTCAAACTAGGTAAGACACATAATGATTTCTAAAAATAATTAAACGCGATCAACTCCGTAAACTTAGCTTTATTCCAGAAAAAAGTAGTGATACATATTTTTACGCGCGTCTTATGGAAGATCACATCATTTTTAATCTATGGTTACCGCGGTTAATTATGACATCTAGACGTTGAACATCTCAGTTTACCCCGTGACCGTGGGTGCTGTAAAGTGCTCGAAACGTCGGGAATATAAAAAAAGTTAATATACGCAATAAATTCCGTAAAAATTAGTTTTATTTAAATGTGTAGTGTTCGTGTAAATATAAGAAATCATTACAAAAAAGGTTAAATTAATTTTGTCAAAAAAGAGAACTAATCAATACAATTTTCTTAGCAATTAAAGGTGGAAATAAAAACAACATGAAAACAACAATATAGGTTCTTTGGACACATAGAGAAACCAAAAATAATCTAAAAGCGTCTATCCATATAATCGACAATTATTTAGATGCGATCCCACTAAATGTCTGTATAAGGACTCGAACTTGATCTCATAGGTACTATTCAAAAAATAATAATTTTACATTGAGTTATTATGTACTACGTACTAGAGGCGACACTGCATTCACCTACTCTGTTCCACTCTACTGCGGTGCATACACCGCACTTTAATCAGTCACTCGCTAGGCGCTTGTAGAGTTGTCACGTGTTGCGTTGATTTAAAAAAAAATCTCTTGATAAAAATATGCCATCGTGTGTACTTAGATATTGCACAAATAATTCAAGAAATGTCAGTAAAAACCAAGGAATTACTTTTCATCGGTTAATAAGATACTTAATCATTAAAAAAAAGTATTACAGATTAATAATAAAACAAATTATTCCTAAGACGTCATCTCGTATCATGGACTATAGATTATGAAATTAATATGTTCAGATGCGACATTTCTGTGGGTACTTAAGTATAGGACGAATATATTATTATACATATTTTTTTGTAGAAACATATATAATTTTCCATATTTAAATCTGCTTATTATTCTTTCATTTTATTTTTGGGTTTCCACATCAAAGTCAAAGTGGAATAAATTCGTCCATTTTTAACTCTCGCGTGCCCAACATTTATGAACGAATCTTATTCTAATTTAAATAAATATATTTGTAATTTAAATGTTATGTTAATAAGTTTTGTTAAATGTACATTATATGCATAGTATGTTTTTTTTATATTTGACATAGATACCTTTTAAAATATTCAGATAAAAATATCATTAAAATGTAATTGTGATATTCTGTAATATTAAATTAAATAAGCAAATATAATATACAAAATAAATGACAAAATTTAAATATTGTTCTCGATAAAATTTACCAATTTAACAATACAATCTACTATTACCTACGGATCATTCTACCTATGTTTATTCTATGATAAAAAAAACAACCGCGCGAACACAGAGTAGCGCACATTTTTTGTTTGAGATAGCTGTTCTAGTACATATTACTTCAATGTAATTTTAAGACGAATTTACCTAGTTATAGTTTCAATCTTTTCCGTACACAGTAGGTACAGTTTGTTGTTCTTACAGGTTTGTTTGGTTTTGTCGACAGAAGTTATTATACAGTGTGTCTGGTCACGACCTAGCAATAATTTAAGGTTACAAAATATACCTAATTTCATCGACGAAAACACCCATATATGGGGGTCTACGACCCCTCCTGTCGGAATGGCCGCCATTTAATTTTTTTTTATTCTTGTAGATACCTCTGCCAAAAGATGCGGATTTCTCTGGACAGAAAGGTCCTACAGATCTATTTTTTTTCTTAACATACTTCTAAAACTAGCACATTGACACTAAATTTTTTTTATACTTTCCTAATACTTAAGGATATTACTTACAAATTGACATTAAAATTATTGTTCTTAATTGCATAACTCAAGAGTTAGGGCTGTTTGAATATGACGGTCCCAAACCCATGTAGAGCTACCTGCTACATTGAATAGGGTTTATGTGACAAGGACGGAAAATGATTTGTATTATTGTTAGGCGGTGAATAAGTAGGACAAAAATCATGTTTGACCAGCGCAGGTATCGTAGATAAATGTTTGTTAGATCAGTTGTCCTCCGCTCTGCGTTGCGATCGCTACTATTCCGTTCCGTTTTGTGAGGTATTCCTTCACCGAGATATTCTGCTGAGTTTGTTGTAGTTTGCAGTGACTACGTACTTTTCGGATAAAAACATGTCCAACTATTCGTCTCATCACATAGCTGACATGCATTTCATGTATGGCAGATGTAATGGAAGCGTTGCTGCCGCCGTACTGCGCCGTACGAATGTATCGTCAGAGGTATCCCAACCGGCCTACACCCAGTCAACAAACTTTTGTTGACATTCACTTAAGATTGTCGCAATATGGCATCCAAAGGCCGCCAAATAAACGCTCCCGCATAGTGTCAGTGCAAGCAGAAGAAGAAGTTCTTCAATTTATTTACCGAGATCCCAGGCTCAGTGTAAGGCGAATAGCAATGATGCTGCATTTGTCAAAATGGGTTGTGTGGAAAATTTTAAAACGCGAAGGCATGCTGCATCCGTACCATTTTCGTCGCGTACAAGATATTCGAGACCCAGACTATGCTGTGCGAGCCACTTTTTGCTCGTGGCTCAACGGTTGTGTGCGACGTCAACCGACATTTTGTAAAAAAAAAATCATGTGGACCGATGAGGCGACTTTTACAAGAGCTGGTATTATAAACCACAGAAACCAGCATTTAGGATGCAAGAAAATTCAAATGCAGTAAGGCTCAGTAAATTTCAACATGAATTTTCAGTAAATGTGTGGGCGGCTATGATTGATGACAAATTAATTAGACCAATTGAATTACCAAATACAATGAATGGTCTAAGATTTTTAGATTTTCTAAGGAACACATTTAGAAAAATCATGGAGGAATTACCAGTGATCAACCGAAGGCGCATGTGGCTACAGTTGGACGGTGCACCAGCTCACTACGCACGTGCTGTGAGAGCTTTTCTCAATGAAAATTATTGACCATGGATAGGACGTGGTGGAACGGTAGCTTGGCCACTTCGCTCTCCGGATTTAAGACCTCTGGATTATTTTTTATGGGGATAGATGAAGCAGAGGGTTTATGCTACAGTCCCAAATAGCAGACAAGAACTGCTCGACAAAATAATGACGATTGCGGATGACATAAGATCCGACATAGTCTTAATATCAAGGGCCACACAACAAATGACTGTAAGGTCAGTAGCCTGTCTACAGAATAGAGGTGGACATTTTGAACAATTATTAAATTAATAATAATACTTGCCATTAAAAGTTTCTTAAAAGTTATAGTGTATTGTTATTTAATCCATTATCAAAAATTAATAGCGCTCATATGAGGCTCTACATACATGACCCTCGCAAAAGGGTCATATTCAAACAGCCCTAACTATCGAGTTATGCAATTAAGAACAATAATTTTAATGTCAATTTGTAAGTAATATCCTTAAGTATTAGGACAGTATTAAAAATTTAGTATCAATGTGCTAGTTTTTGAAGAAGTATGTTAAGAAAAATAAAATAATAGTCAATTTTTTTACTTAAATTAGCATTGTAAATGTTTTAAGATATTTTGTAGGGAAAACTTTCCATGATGTTTATTTTTATTTGATAGATGCTATTTTTACCTTTTAAATAACATTTTTTAAAAGGTAAAAATAGCAAAAGAAAGGTCCTACAGATTTTACATCTGTAGGACCTTTCTGTCCAGAGAAATCTGCATCTTTTGGCAGAGGTACCTACAAGAATAAAAAAAATTAAATGGCGGCCATTCCGACAGGAGGGGGCGTAGACCCCCATATATGGGTGTTTTCGTCGATGAAATTAGGTATATTTTGTAACCTTAAATTATCGCTAGGTCGTGACCAGACACACTGTATATATTATATTATATTTTTATCAATTATTATTATCGTATATCGTTTTTGTTGATCGAGAGACCAACCGGGCTGCACTAATGTGTCGTATAAAAAATACGTAGGTCGTATCGTAGTCGGCGTAAGATATAATCCATCACTCTATTTCAACCCGAGGGTGGCGTAAAAGGCAAGTAGGGGAAATGTTTGAAAGATGTAATGGCTTCTGAATAATGGCAATGTAGCCATCTTGTTTACCGATCCGCCTGACAAGCATTACTTTAGCAAAATAATGAACATGATTATGGCAATTTCATCCCACAGCAGGTTATCTTAAATTTCTTCTAATAAAAACTACATAATAAATATAAAAAAACTAATATATAAAAGAAATATTACGCATTTATTTTGAATTGAGATAAAAATAATGTCTTACCTTGATTTGTCTCTTCATTGTAATACAAAATAGGGTTATAAAATACATAACTAGGATAGGCCAGAATACTGGAATATTGAAGGCATCAACAAATGTACAGAAGAAAGCTATGATGGTGCTCTTTGTAACAGAAAGCCAAAACTTAAACTCTGGTAGCCTTCGGATAAATGGTCTAAATTCTTCACTAGCACGGGTTGGTAGGGCTGGACCATTGTCATCGTCAGCTGCAGAAAACTAAATGTTAGTAATTTTATATTACACAATATTTTTACATAATTTTGTTGGAGATTTAATTTAAATGAGAAACAGCACAACACATACTACACATAAACTTTTTCAGTTTGCCAACACTAAAACCCACTCAGATGTGAGAGGCAGCCTGAGCCCAGCAGTGGAACATACATAATAGGCTGTTACTTTATACACTTTTAACAGTGGTATCGGGGGCAAACGAGCATGCGGCTGGCCTGATGATAAAAGTCGACCGCCACCAATGAAAAACTACAATACGAAGGGAATATCAGGTGCGTTGCCGGCCTTTTTAAAGGGAGTTTATCTCGTTTCTTGAAGGTATCTTAGTCGTATTGGTTCGGTAAATCACCCGGGGTAAACGATTCTACAATGAGGTTGTGCAAGGAAGGAAACTCCTAGTAAAACGCACAGTGGTGGATAGCCAAGCATTCACGTGGTGTGGATGGTATCGTGAGTTTTGTCGCGATGTGCGATGGTGCAATTTGGCGGCTGTCATTAATCCGAACAATTGATAAGAGCATTCCCCATGATAAACGCGATAGAAAATGCAAAGGGATGCCACATCTCTTCGTAGTTCCAGTGAATCGAGCCGATCAGAAGAAACTCGATCGTCGAAGATTACAGCCATTTCGTCAAGTGGAAGGAGCTGGCACCAGGGTGCCCCGGTCCAGAGATGAGAACATATTCTCTGTAAGGCCAAACCTGCAGCTTGTAAGTTTTAAGCGGTATGCATGCTTGTTCCGTTCTGTTGAGCAGGCCAAGCTTTTTAGAGGCTAAAATTTAGCTTTCCCTTTCAAACTATAATATAATAACTAACTGATACTGCACGTCATTCGATATGTCGACGCCGAGGATTCAAACGTTGACGGAGGCAGCAAGAGCGCCCTGAAACTGAGGAGATACAACAAATGGATTCTTTTTAGCGCTAAACGCGCATACTAGTGTCTTCTGCGGATTGATCTTTATTCGTCGCCGATCCGAGACTTTGTTTAACAAAGACTCGACTTCAGACACAAGTTTGTTCCGGTACTTGACGACGTGTTCCTAAGAAATATTGTATCCAAATAAGGTTGATCAATTAGCATACAGTTCACCTAATAGTAAAGCCATAGTAGAGCCATTCTGCAGTTATATTAGTAGTATAGTTGTAGCAAGAATAAGTTGGCTCTACCGGGGAAGGACCACGCTCTCACAGAATACCAGCGTCAAATAGTAGATTAATGCAGCTGTGTTTCGTATGGTGAGTGAACCGGAGACCCTTTTTACTGCAAACGAGGTATTCCACCTTAGTCCTCACGGATGACAACGCATCAGCATTTTGATTCGAAAACGATGATAGATGATGACATCAGGTGGACTGTGTGCTCTTTTGTCATCCTATCCTATAAAAAAAATGAATATTGTGGCCCATAGACACATTAATCTATTTCTCCATTATCAAACATCAAATATGATTATCATCTACTCGTATTATTAAAATGTAGAAGCGTCATCAATCCCTAGGACGAAGATGGAATGCCTCATTGCCAGTTAATACTTTTGCCAATTCCTGAGAAGAACACTACACCGAGAAGAATGGGGCTGGGAAATATATATTGCAGTATATATTTTGTGTTTAAGGGGATAGAGTAAGTCAGCTCAAATTCTAATTTCGTCCCCACTTGCCCGCGCGTCGTATGCTATGTACCGACATGTTTGTAATCACTAATACTGTAAGTAGAAAGGTCGTTAGACACTTATTTCATTAATTTTTATCATATTTATGCCTGTTTCTTAACGCCAAGCCAGTCGCTTCTTATTTTTATTACGGTTATTTCCCATTTTAATTTTACGTCGTCCTGTTGCGTAATGTATATTCTGATCGTAAGCGACACAACCTCCCCGTTCAAAGGCCGAAGCGAAGTGACCGTGCGCCAGGAATCACGCTTCAAGAGGCCGCTAGTTTAGGTAATTTCTTTTTACGGTGAAAATAATGGTATTTTAAAAAACATAACATAAGCACTGCTTTATAGTTAGTTCAGTTAGTATGCAAAGTTTCATGATCATATTTAAAATATTTTATGAATAACAGCGGTTTATTGTTTATTTTGGAGGTAACTTTGGATTTTTTTTCTATCGAGAAAATTTTACAAAATCGTGTTTTCGTCTAACATAATCCTTAACATTAATCCTCAACTTTACCATATATTTATTTCAAAATTAATGCTGCAATATTTTCAGCATAACGAAGGATCTTGCTAAGCCATTTGAGATTATATTTCCCCTTAAAGCATATAAAGTAAAAAAAATATTTACAACTGAGTGGTTGTCGACTTACCACTACACCTAACTAGATTTATTGAAATCCATAACGACATTCTGCACAGCAGAACGAGTTGAAAATTTTTTCGTTCATTTGGTTATATCCATGAATTAGTAGTAGCTGAATTAGGTGGAAAAACAACTATATAAGTTAATTTTTTTATATAAAGCACTCTTTTACTCACCATCGAAATCCATAGCTGGATCTATCTTCGGAGTAAGGAATGCAATAAATAAATTTAAGTGATATATACCTAAGGCATAAGTTACTATGTACCATCCCTGAAAGTAAAAAAAAATGTTTATTATTTACTTTTGTGGCGTATTAGTATTCCGCAAAATTGCAATTATGACTGACAACAAGTGAAGAAATGTCTAGTATGCATCATATCTCTCTAGAAATTTAAGCATAGAGTAATATTTCTGCAATAATACTAACAAAGATAGTATACATGATTTACAAGGGTGACACTGAAAGTTCTTAGTAAAGTCAAAAACTGAACAAACTAAGTAGCAAGTTATTGGTTTTATTATATCTTTTCAAAACAGTGTCCATCTACATCAATACATCGCTGCATCCGATGGAATCACTGAGAAATGCACTTTGAAACCACTCATCCTTAGAAGTCTCTAAGGTATTTTGGAACGCAGCCACTGCTTCCTAGGCGTCCATAAAACGTTTTCCTCGAAGTTTTTCCTTTATTTTCGGAAATAAATAAAAATCGCAAGGTGCGAGGTCAGGGCAATAGGGAGGCTGACCAAGTAATTCCACGTCTCACGTCGCCAAGTAGTCGATTGTTTGCTTGGCGTGAAGGAGGATCCTACTGCGAGGTTGTTTCTCCCGAACCTTTTCCAAGACAAGTGGCAAACAATTTTTTCATAAAAATTTAAATCTTTAAAAATCAATAACTTCAAAAATAATTGTGCTACATAACTGAAATTTGGTATTTTTTTATGAATCTATCATATTATTGCGCGCCTAAGTTGACGTCATGTACCCGGCACTAGCCCCATCTAGTGTCGGGGACGAGAGCGAGGAGAGCTTTCCAGAAAATGACATCACTAATCTTTCAACCGACAGCGCCATCTAGTATCGAAACGAAGAACTAAGCTTCTAGAAGCCCGACACTCGAACTTTCGGCGCCTAGTCGATTGGCGCGCGTATTTACTTGAATATTCTGGATGTTTCGGTGATAATGTGTATTTAAAGGCGCTGCAAGATGCGATCGAGGAAGTATTGAATTCGGCAAGACAAGCGAAGCTTCGGAGCGAAATAAAGTGAATCAGTGTGGTTAATTATTAGTGTTTTAAGTTTTAATTAGTGTAAAGTGAATTAAAGAGTTAATTTTGGTAATTCAATCGGCAGTTTTTATTGTCACGAACCTCAAGCTCGTAACAATATATTGCTGCATAAAAAAAATCACGAAAATCTGAGACATCAATTCTGAAAATCTCCCAAAATTGTGTTGAATTGACATGGAATGATTCTTACGTTTGCGGATTAAGGGTCCACAATCAGCCAGGATGTGCAGAGGCGTTTCTTCCCTTAAGGAACAAAAACGGCACATCCTTAAGTTGCTTAGTCCCAGGATGACCATGTGCTTTTTAACAGTGTCCAGTCAAGGCTCCTCCCAGAATGTGCCGATTATTTTTGTTTCAAGGGCCAATCGGGCTAGACTCTTTAAGATTTCACAATTTCCCGTGCGAGCTCATCGGCAAGTTCATTCCCTAGAATACCGGCGTGGCACAGAACCCATCTTAAAACGACTCTTTTGTTACATCCCAAGGCGTTTAGACGGTTCACGCAGTCTCCAACTAACTTCGAGTTCACTAAGTTTGATCTCAGCGCTAGCAGTGCTGCTTGACTATCAGAGTTTATATAGATTATATAACTGACGTAGTGCTTTTGCAGATTAATTTCCGCACACTGAAGTATGACAAAAATTTCTGCCTGGAAGATAGAGGTGAATCTACCCCAATTTATACTAAGTTTGAAGTTTGGCATTCCCCAAAAATTCCAAAGTCTACGTCGAGGCCTTTTTTTGACCCATTGGTGCACCATATAAGGCTACCGACCTTACAGACAACCTTGTACATTCAGCCAGTCTTCTCTGGAGGATTGCTCCAGTTGCCATTACGCAGGCATTCCTTTATAGACTATTTAGTCTGTCCGCAGTCGTCTTTTGGTTGGCCTTATTACACCAGATAATGGAGGCATAGATGATAATCGGCCTCACTATGCTGCTGTACAGCCATAGGATCATACTGGGACACCAGCCCCAGTTATTCCCAACCATACAACTGCATGTACCTAAAACAATTTTAGCCATATGACATTCGTTGCTAAAGTGAGAGTTCCATGTTAGTTTTTGATCGATTTTTACGCCCAAATACTTAACTTTTACGATAATTAAAAGAATCAGGCGTAACTTTGCGGAAATCCATTATATTGAAGTTGTTAGAACTTAATTTGCTCATTTCCGCATTAATAAAACATAATGACGTGTCCTGCCCAGTCTGAAGAGCACCCATCTCCCACCCTCCCTCAGTAGCGTGCACTATCCCTTTCATCACCACCACTGCCAGTGCTACCCCTCCCAGCGCCAACCCTGCAGCACCACCGCAGTAGGAACGCCACACCACCCTTGATAATACGACATGTGATTCGCATCTACACAAGGCATCCTCAGATGAATTAGACTCTATGGAGGATAACACCATCTTCATCATAACTAATCCCATCACCATCACTTGTAGCACTCTCTCTGCTTTCCACACGCTGTTATTTATACAACTCGTTGATGAGGGAGATACAACTCCTTATCAAAGAGTAGCACGAGTTGCTGAAATAGCAACTGTTTCAGCTCACCCCTCACTTATCCTTCAGCCACCGCAGACTACTTAACTTGTGGATGCCTCGTGTAAAGGTGAAACACGTATCGTATTATCGAGAGTTGAGTGTCGTTCTTAGTGTGGTGATACAGGGTGTGATAGTTTTTTTTATAGAAGAGGGGGCAAACAAGCATACGGTTTACTTGATGTTAAGTGACTACCGCCGCCCATGAACATCCACAATACCAGGGGAATTGCAGGTGCGTTGCCTGCACTTTAAAAAGGAGTAAGCTCTTTTCTTGAAGGTCCCCAGGTACTGGGAGTGGTGGCTACGGGGATAGTGCATGCAATTGAGGGAGGTTGGGAGGTGCTGTTCAGACTGGGTAGGACATATTATTTTATTTTATTACACGAATATGAGCAAATTAAGTTCTAATAACTTCAACCACATGGATTGAAAAATGCTTGAGAATATTGAGTCAAATTCTTGTTTGAACACATTTCATTTTCCTGCCATGTTCGCATCATTATTGTACTTGATCTCGTCAATCATTCATGTCTAAGTCAAACACTTGTACATTGTGTGTGCATTAAAAAGAGACCAGGAAGTCCTTTTTCTGAAGGCTTGTAAGTACAAACAATACTTGTGCTTTGACTTATTAATTAGCATCAACAAAACAGAATGTTAATAATAAGAGTGATTGAATTGGTGACCGGGGTTCCTGGTGGTTTCGGTTGATTTCCACTGGTCTCTATAATATGCCACACAACACTGATGTTATCTTCAGTCGTCGCCGTAGAAAGCCGTCCCTCACGCAGATCATCGGTGAGATTAGTGCAACCATGTTTTAAACTCATTAAACCAGCTGTAAACAGTGGCACGAGATGGGGCTTCATCATGAAAGGCCAATCGGAGTCATCATAACTTTCTTGTTGACTTAAATGACATTGAAAGTCATAAAAAATCATTGTACGAAAATTTTCTCCTGTTAACCTGTTTGCTGTTCTTTCTGAGCTAGCGGGTTAAATTCTGACATGACACAAACAATTTTCAATTTGCCACCAAAGCGTAAACAAATGACAAATTAGTAAAATACATACACAATAATATTGGCAAAGAGTTCCATTTTCAAAATTTGAACTTATTTTTTAATTATATCGTTTACAAGTGGCCAGTTCTAAAAAAACCTTCAGTGTCGCCCTCGTAATGTAAAATATCTTAAACTTACAATAAACTTGATAATAGTAACGAAATCCAGTCTTTTCTAATGGTGTGTGCCATAGTATATGTATTTTATTCGTTCTAATTAACCAATTAAGAACTTTTTTCACATTTAATTATTTGTATAAGTTGGTGTTTATGTGAATGGAAAAATATTGTGCATCTTAGTCATTTCAGAAAAAACAAAATCATTTGGATTTGGACAGAGTGGTGGACTAATTCATGTATAACCCGCTCAGTTATGAGAGCAGGCCTGTGCTCAGCAATGAACATATCAATATACAGGCTGTAATTTTACTACTTCAACATTGGCCAAGTTTAATGACAGGTGTGAAAATTAGGTAATACAGATGTGTTATGCAATATTGTGTAGGTGAAAGAGAATCCATCTCCCATTTCACTGTTTTCTAGTTCAATTCAAATTTGTCACTTCATTTCGTCCCGTCGGTGTTGTGTGTGTGGTGATGTGTAATAGGTGACTATAGAAAACCCCAGCAAGATCTTACGGATTTAGATAAATGACGATATAACTATATTGTCTAGAGAAGTTTTAAATTAAAAAAGGGCAAGCAACGGGAAAGGCCCATGTCTACCAGTGGACATTTTGATTGATGTATTTACTTGACTCTAGAGTCAGAAATTTATTGGAAATGTCAGCCTATCACCATGTTAAATATTTTAAAGTAAACAAAGACTGTATAAAATGGCTTATTAAAATATAAATGATTACATGGTAGTTAAGAACCCCTGGGAAAGAGGTGATTAATTCCAAGCTGTTTTAGAAAAAAATAATTATTATTTTTACATTTATTTCATTGTAAAATATTACTTTGAAAAAAAAAAAATACCACATTACCATCATAGACACCTTGAATATGAAACTTTGTGCAAGTTATGATGAAAAATATTTAAAATGACCTGCCAAAAACAGCTCAAGACTTATGAACAAATAGGGTACTGTAGAAATTGTGATTGTGTTTGCAATATACAGTGAGCAACAAATGATTTATTTATTTTAAGCCTAAGTTGGAACATTACTTTTTCTATTATTATTTAAAAGCAATGTTTTCCAGTTATGACTTTATATTATAAAACAGGAAACGTAGTAAGTAGTAACATGTAAATACATGATAACCAATTGATAGTGGAATTTAACAGGAAACAATCATAGCGACCGCCGGACAACTTCATAGTTTGGAGTTGGGGAGGCAGGGAGTAGGCTAACAATACTGCACTTGTCGTTACATATAAATTGGACCATCTGTTCAAAAATACTCATTAAGGTCGCCAAAAGTTTTGTAATATTATTTATAATACTTACTTGTTTTGTGATTATTCGTATAACAAACACTGTTAATAGCAAAAAACTTCCAAACCATCTCCCTTTGGTATGTGGTGTCCACTTATCTAATGTTCCTTGATACAGCTGGAAAAAACACATATAGATAGTTACATCACAGAGTGAAAATATCTAAATGTATTATATACCTACTAAACCTTGACTGCATTATTTGAAGCATTATTGTTAGAAAAAAATATATAAATAAACTATGGTATGAGTAAGTCATTGCCGACTCCGTGGTTCAGTGGCTTAGCAATGAGTGGCTGCGCTGGGGGTCATGGGTTCGAATCCCGCACAAAACAAATATTTATATGGCCAACAACTAGTTGTTCCGGGTCTGGATGTTTGTCCTTGTGCAATTTATGTTTGTAAACTGCCCTTACGATACGAGAAAATCTTATTGTAGGGGTAACATTTTTTTTAAAAAAAGGTCATTGTGAATTTTTTTCTGTCCTTATCACCCAATAAAATAACGATAAAAATATATCATGTTTCAAGACATATTTTATGTTTTATTGTGTGTGTATTGTTGTGAGAACTTGTATACATCAAAGTCAGTGTTTTTCTAGGAAACTGATTTTGATGATTGTTTTTTATTTAAAAGCTGATACTTCTCATCCAGTCCCATATAAATTTGATCAAGATCTGACTAGTAGTTTTTGAGTTATCCCTAATAATGTGTAGTTAATAGCCTTGGACTATATTGAGGATGTTCTCATTTTATTTATATTGAAGTTGGTAGCACACATTTTTTATTTGACCACTTTAGTGCGATTTAACTTTTTATTTGAACACTTTAGTGCGATTTAACTTTTTATTTGACCACTTTAGTGCGATTTAACTTTTTATTTACATTGAAGGTTGTATCAATATCCTGTGCAAGTATTTATAATTCTACTTATTTTTTAACTTCATCTGAAAGTTATTGTAAGTATTATGAACCCTGGTTTTTGATGCTATTAGTTTAAGTAAGATGTATTTAGAAGGCCTAGTACCAAATTTTGCATGTACGACACATGGGTTTTAGATATAATACACAATAAATGTTTACTTTAATACTTGCTTTATGGATATTCTAATGAACTTGTCATTTTAATAATAGATTACTGCAATAAAGATTTTTGATTTTAATAACATTTTACTAGCTTAGATAACATTTCAGGTTTTATTAATTTACATGCTAATAGCTAACTATTTAAAATCAAATAAATTTTATATTAACAAATTCAGAGCATCATATTCATAGTGAACATAATATGGGCAAGGTAATTTTATTAGTGTCTGATAATTATAAAGCACAAAGATAAATTAAATTACCTGAGAAATACGCATCCATGCTTGGGAAATAATTCCTCTTCTGGTTGTTTCAGAACCTAAATCATTTCCGTCCATCATTGTTGACCCAGTCTCTTCTTTGTTAAAAATTTTAGCTTCTTCAATACATTTATTGAAAAAATTGAAATATAATTAAATACTATTTAACTTTACTAAGGTAAAATTTAATTTATTCGACAAATAGTAGCCTCACATAGTACCAATACGATGACGGATGCATCAGGTGTCAAGGTGACAACTAAGGTGACAACAGTGACAACTCACAAAGCCAAGATTATGGAGTGTAGAGGTAAGGAGTACAGACTCTGTATAAAAAAGTGTCCGTAGGAAAGAACTAAATAAGGGTAGCGCCACTGTAGCTACAGTCTAAATTTTAAAGAACTTTTTGTAATTTTTTTATTGCAAAGACTTTCACCATATTTCTTTTTACAATAATTATTCTATTGCTTTTAAAATTTTTATTTTCAAAATCACACTCAACGTATTTTACGGCGATTTATCATTCCCTGTAGCTACTCGAGCGCTGTTGTGGAGTGTTTTTGAACTCTTATTTACTGCTAACGGATGGACACATTTTCAATTATTCTTCTATGGAAAATTGCCCTCCTTACCAAGATGGTACATTCTTCTTTCTTTTGTAATAGACTCTTTTACTTTTGCCAGTGTCCATTAACATTTTTTATATAAGAGGGAGCAAATGTGCATCCTTATGTCTAATTGCGAAGTTATTGGAAGAATATGATAGCATTTTGAGCCAGCAGATAGTCGAGGACTATAGTATCTCGAAGCGTTTAAGCAGACAGAAAGGTCACCACATTAGAATTTTTAAATTCTAATCTGAGACAAAAGTCACCAGAAGTCATTGAATAAATGTTATTTTAGAAAAAAACAAAAAACCTATATAATGTCAAAAACATTTAATTTCTCTTTTACCGTGGATTTACATCACATTTTGATGCTGGATTGCATACTTCGATGAGGTATAAATATGCCGCGATTAAGTGCGAACCCAGTGTGTACCATAATGATAGAAGCCATGTAGCCTGTTCATGCCATTTTGGCAAGATTGGTCAATTATTTCAGCCTTTGGCATGATCAGTTGGTGTTTTATAAAAACTGTCAGTATTTAGTTGTATTGGGGTATTAAAATAGATTTCGTTATGACAACTCAAAATGCCCTAACTGCCAACCCTAGGTATTTCACCAGCATGTAGGGGATTTTCCTGTACTTCTCTTATTATGTCTGTATCACAATCAATGTCCGTGTGCTCGTTTGTCACCCTTATTCTATAAAAAAAAGTTAAATTGCGTGAATAAATCCACGTATATAAATGAAAAAAATTAAGAATATGATGCTAACTGCAATGTTTAATTTTAATTTAATAAAAATATAGCATTTAAATGTGTATTTTTACTTTTCTTAGTTTAATACACAATACATTTGACAAGTTTCTGCAGGTTTTTAACCAAAGTAAGTCAGGATCTGTATTTTAAAGATGGTCACACTGTGTTAAGCGCTCTCTACATGGAGTGTTTTTAAAATGCATTAAAACTTTTACAACTATTTTTACTTACAATTAAATATACTAAACACTAAACACAAACTATTTCAACAAGTATTTACATAAAACTATTTACTTAAACAGCGTTAAAAAACTTTACCATTGAATCGCCTACATCGCGCTAGCTCCGACTTCGTATAACGCCCAGGGCGCCTCGCGATTTTAGGTAATTATTTCACGCAGGTAGCAAGAGTGACAGAGTCCTGGTAGAGGTAAAGAGAACCATCTCACATGGAGAAAAGTTGAAAAAGTGTTCATCTGTAAGCAGTCAATAACAGTTCAAAAACTTTCCACAAACGTGCTAGAGTAGGTAGAGGGTATGAAATGAACTTAGCAGTTGTCGACGAAGTGAAGTGTACTGAGTTGAGGAATTTGATATTTGTGGAAACTAGAGGAGTTGATGAAACTGCAGTACTTAAATCCTCAACTGCTCACGTTGTCTAAAATAATTTAGTAAATAAAACCTAGAAAAAGCCGCCGTGAAACACGTTGAGTGATTATGAAAATAAAAATTTTTGATAACAATATTACAGTCGACTCTCGTTAATTCAAATTTGCGATAATTCAAACCTCTCTACAATTCAAAGTTATCACGAGTTCCCCACAAAATCTCTTTATATTTCGAACTAAATGAAAACATTTTTATGCACTTGGTAATTCGGACCAAAAAATCATTGCTACGTACAAAAACAACGTTAATTTGAACTCATCGTTAAACACTCGACAGTTCAAAGTTGCAGACAGAAGACGTTCTATCGCAAAGAAATTGTTAAGTTTGTTTTAGCTAACTGCGAATATTACGGTTCAGCTGTAACACCCCTAACGATTCTCAACTTATTCAAAAAACTAGTTGACATCAGCCGTGTGAGTTTTTCTGACTTTGTTGCTGTCTCAGGTTCACTAACCGATGGCGAAATATTAACTATATATTATATAATATAATAAATAAATAAATATAATAAATTAAGATGAGGACGATACATCAGAGCCTTTCGCAGTGGTGTCAGTCAAGGAAGCAAGAGCCTCATTATACCTTACAAAACTCTGTCTACAAAAATAAAGTGATGAAAAAGCATTACAGGTACTTTTTCTCTTAAAAAAGTTACTGAGCAGTCTGAGCAGCAGCAATGTGCTTTGAAGCAAACCAGTATAACAGAGTTCTAATAGTTAGAGTTAGAGTTAGAGTTATAATAGAGTTTAGAAAGGTTAGATAATTCACACTATGAATATGTACACGAATGCACTAGCAGTTAATAAATAACAATTGATCAACACTTAATTAATTGCTTTTTAAATTGCTTTTTAAAGTATTTTGTCAAAACATGTACACGAGCGGTCTGTAGATCAGCTACGCCAAAGGATCGTTAAACACCCTTCGCGTCCAATATAATAATATATTCGTGATGATGTTGAAACTTCCTCGTTTCTGCAGTGCATCTGAAATGTTTGCGCAGGCGAGAACGGATGGTTTTCAGGCACTCATGTGCAAGAATGTGGCGTCACTGATAAGCCGCGTACGGGGGAGTGACAACAGCATTCTGAGGACGGTAGTAGATGATCCACATGCACCTATATTAAGGAGCTATGTGAGATCAATGTCCTATTTCGTAAATTATTTAAATTAAATTATTATTATAATTATAGTACTACTAACCCCCTTACTATTAGAATTAATTACTAACCCTTATGGATCTATATTGTCTGAAAATAAATGATTTGATTAATAATTCGAAGTTATATTCACTCAAAAATTTCGAAACATTTGATATTTCAAACACTCGATAATTCGTAATATTTTAAGAGTACCTTGAGTTTCGCATCAATGAGAGTCGGCCATTATAATAAAAAAGGATTGTGATGTAAGTTTGTGCAATAAAAAGTTATAAAAAGCTATTTAAAGTTTACCCGCTAGCTACAGTGGCGCCACCCTTATTTAAAGCTCTCCTACACTTACTACGATCCTCCTTACCTCTACAATGCATGGCTCTTTGCATCTCAGCGCCCGGTACAAAGACAAATTTTACATTTCACTGAATTTTGATCGTTTCCTAAAATATTTCCATACAACACTTTGTCGCATTCGATTTTCGCATCGAAGGTGGCGTTCTGAAGATGCAAATCAAGCAGACCAACTAAGTCAGCAATTAAAAACAATACAAGTCACTTTTATAAACTTTTTGGTTTTGACGACGAAGTTAACACCAATCAATCAATATTGCTATTAAATAATAACAAATATTTATAAATTTCTTAACAAAAACAGTCTTCTAATCTAATTATTTATGAAATACATAGACAACAACATATTTAGACAAATGAAACACATTTAAATCCAAATATTTTGCGTTATGATTCCATTAAATATATTATTCATTCATCAAAATTATGAGATATTGCTATTAAATGTATAAAGTGTATTTAACTGGTCCCACATGCATTATTCGAACTCTAATAGGGTTTTCCTCCATAATCCTCACTCCATTGAAAGGGACGACACTTTACTTTGCATTATACATATGCACTATACATTTTTACAGTGGTAGAGCCACGCGGCAGCTTTTGCTGTTGCACGACGGGCCGGCTCGATCCAACTTCACAGAATACCGGCGTGAAGTGAAAGCTTTGCTCCTCTATGAATGGAATGGAGTTAAATGTAAGACTACCTTAGGAGGGTACCAGCACCCCTGGAGCATCCTCGGCGATTTTAACGCCCACCACGCCGAATGGCTTAGTTTTATTTTTATTTTATTTTATTCAAAGTGGAACAGCTAACAACTACATTATATATAATTACATATAGATAGTACAGTAACTTAATATACGCAATAATGCAGCCCACAGTGCTGTTCACAGATTACCTCTTGGGATAGATAATTAAGACGCTAGGAGACCTGCAGCTGTACAGAAGGTTACAAATGTCAAAGTATGGTCAACAGTGATATTATAATGTGACTAAGATAATAAAATTATTATTTGAAAAGTATCTTGTATAAAAGACCACGAAACTTTTCCTTTGAGCACGTAAAATGTCTATATGCTCGAATGTCTCATTATATGTGGCAACCATACGTCGAATCGGTGAACGAATACCGGTATTGGATCGACAGGTACTTGCGGCAAAGAGTTTACCCGCACGCACCCGTCGTCTATGGACAGTTCTGGGAACTACATAACATAACAGATTGTTTAACTCAAAACAGTCAAATTTGCATCTTACTATATGAAACAATGTCATAGACTGCAATTGCTTACGTCTAGAGTGGAGGGTTAGAAGTTTGTATCTGGTCGTACGGTAAATAAGATTTATGACATCTATAATGCATTGCACGTAGAAACCGGCGTTGAACATTTTCAATTATGTGTATATATTTATTATAATAAGGATTCCAAATGGGCACAGCATATTCAAGTTGAGAGCGAACTAGGGTTTTATATAAACAAAGATATGAAGAGGTCCGTTTGAAGTCGCGAGTTGATCTCATAATAAATCCATATAGTTTGTATGTTTTGTTTACAATTTGTTCAATATGTAAGTATAAGCACAGTTTTGAATCAAACAGTATAACGATGTCTCGCATAGAATCCACTTTAGCTAAAGGAACGTTACACAGTGAGTACGAAATTGTAATAATATTCTTGTTTTTAGTAAAACGGAGATATTTACACTTCGGGATGCTTAACTGAAGCTTACTTTTGCAACAATAGTCTGTAAGTCTATCTAGGTCCTCAGGAATAAATTTATAAACTTTAAGATCATCTGCATATAATAAAAATTTTGAGTTGAGAAAACAGTTACTTATGTCATTAATAAACATTATAAATAACAAAGGCCCGAGAATAGATCCTTGAGGTACACCGGAGGTAACCATCGTAACGTTAGAATGGTATCCATTAATTACAACCCTTTGACAACGGTTAGTGATATAAGAAACAAACCATCGTAACAAATTACCCCGAATGTCATTGTAAGCTATTCGATTTAGTAACATTTCGTGGTCCACCTTATCGAAGGCCTTTCGAAAGTCTGTATATACTGCATCGACCTGTACGCGATCATCAACATTTTCAAATAAATAGCTGGAAAATAATAATAGATTGGTGGTTGTTGATCGACGTTTAACGAAACCATACAGTTGCTGTATAATATTGTGCAGTATGGGATATATTTCGTTATGCACAAGTCTCTCGAAAAGCTTCGACAAAGTGGACAAAATTGATATCGGGCGATATTGATCTACACTAAGTTTAGATCCGCTCTTGTGCACAGGTGTGATGTTAGCCTGTTTCCATACTGTGGGCATAACACCGTCAGTAATGCATTTATTATAGATGATAGTTATGGGGTTTACATATAACTGTGGCAGTGTTTCTTAGAAAATAAGCAGATAAGCCATCAGGGCCTGGCCCCTTAGATGGATCCAAGGATTTCAGCTCTCTTAATACCTTTTCTACTTCAAAATGAAGATTAGTAATAGTAGTGTCATGGGATGCTGAATCGGCAGGTGGTCTCCACTGCGATAGTGTAGGTGAGGGTGGTTCGTAGACGGAAGACAAGTATTCAGAAAACATGTTGCATATTGTCTGCGAATCACTTGAAATATCATCATTATATTCAACCTTAGCTGGTATTTCAGGTTTGTCACGACGATTAGAGATGTATGCCCAGAAATCCTTAATATTATTGCGTATGCTAGCCTCGACCGATCCAATATATTTAGAAAAACATTTATTACACATATCCTTAAATAACTTTCTATACTGGGAAAACATCTCATAGTTATACGTTACGTTGTTATACTTCTTCCATTTCACCCAAGCTTTACGTTTTTTCTAAATATGTGCTAATTAGAGATTTCGAAAACCAGACCGGAAAAGCAGAGGTTCTGGAGCCAACAAATGGCGTGTGTTGTTTGATAATTTCATCAATGATTTCGTAAAATGCGCTAAGTACTTCTTCAGACCCCAGTGGAGTAAGTATTTCATCCCAGTCAGTGGACTCTATTTTGCGGTTGATGTGCGTGTAATGGACTTGACTCTATTTTGCTGAAGTGGCAATGGGCCGGCCATATAGCTCGAAGAACCGATAACCGATGGAGAAGAAAGGTTCTCGAGTGGCAGCCTCGTACCGGTAGGCGTAGTGTAGGGTGACCCCCCACTAGATGGAGTGACGACCTGGTAAGATATGCAGGAAGTCGATGGATGCAGGTGGCTTAGGGCCGTGCTTTGTGGCATTACTTGGGGGAGGCCTATGTTCAGCAGTGGACTTGTGAAGGGCTGTAATGATGATGATGATGATGATGTGCGTGTAGTCGGACTTATAAAAATTGTACCTTTGAAGCTTCCGCTTTTTAATTGGAACAATTTTCAGCATTGAGAGCTATATCACAAACAAAGGGTGAATGATATGCGTCAACAGGAAGTAGGCGACTTAAAGCGGCCGATATCTTACACGAGCGGTTTGATATGCATAAATCAAGTATTTTATTTTTGGTATTCACTACGTAGTTGTATTGTGCGGCATCTAGAAATGAGATTAAATTACGTAATAGGTTAAAGGTATGGGATGAGCCTACTCCACTGCCATGTAAGGCGTCTGTGATTCCTCGTGTCCAAGTTACATCTGGGAGATTATAGTCGCCCAAAATATAGAAACAGTCCAAATTAGGATCACACAGTACCTCTTGTAAAGTTTCAAAGTGAAGTTCGTATACGATAGAGGGTGTTTTTGGGGATATGTAAGCAGCACTGAAGACATGGCGCTTTGAGGATTGCTTACTAGGGACTTCGATGATGACTTTTAGGTTATGCAATGAAACATTTACACTAGTCAAAGACAGATTTAACTCAGATGATCTGAGTGTCGCAATACCGCAATTAGAACACCACCGCCATCTAGTTTATTTGTACTCATACGATTACGGTCGCACCTGTACACAATATAACGTTGATCGATAAACTCATTGTTGCTAATTTCCGATATCAGCCAAGTCTCGGTGAGTACAATGATATCATAGTTACTGTTTAGAATGTTCATATATAGTGTGTGTAATTTTATTCGAAAACCTCTGCAATTTTGATAGTATAAAGAATATTGCTTGCTACCAATTACAAATAATTGAGAATAACATGTACATATTAACAGTAATATTAAAATTTTCGCTTACGATGTTCAAGTCTTTAAAACAATAATAAGAATATTTTACCTTATTATGATATAATATACTTGTACCAGTCACGCAGCAAAGACAAACCTCCAATTCCCCACGAAGAAACGATTCAAAATATATCTTCATAAAAATAATAAGCATTACAAAAACATGCACGCAAATAGAAAAAATCAATAAAAATTTATAATTATTACTCCACATTTTTTCAGCCCACTGGTTAACATATTTTGTTGATACATATACAACATAACAACCATACTTACACATGTTATATTCAAGGGCTGACATATTTATGTCGTACTCAAAAAAATTTAAAAAGATTATAATACTACAACAGACAAGTAACACATAATCGTAGTAATTAAAAGGATTGAAAAGTTTGTAACAAATCAAAGTGTAGCAAAATAGAGGCCAAGACGATTGCATAATAATAAACCTAGGATCAACATACAATTTATTAATACAAGCGACAGTAGCCTAATGGCAGGGCGCGGACCGCGAACTCAAAAAGGTCGTGGGTTCGAATCCACCATTCGAATTGGCGTGAACCACTCGTAACACAAGCAATTTAAGCTTACCACGAGTGGTTAAGGGGAATATTAGTAATGTTTGTAGCATTGTTAATATTCTTTAAAAAAAAGATTTATTAATACAAGTATTTATAATCTTATAATTAAACTGAGCATTATTTTTAATTTTGACGTAAGGCACACTTATTTTATGTTTAAAAAAGTTTAGTTTATATACAGTTATCGTACCAAATTATTTCATTATAGCACTATTTACTATATACTTCATAAAATAAATATAAATATTTCAACAAAGTGTAACATAATGCAATAGTACAATATAACCCTACTAATGTAACAAATAAAATTTTATTTCAAAAGTATTAATTATATAATTTGACTTGTTGTTTGCATTTTTGGATAAGAGAACGATAAAAATCATTAATAAAAACGTGTAATAAAGAATGACACCCAATGAAGAAATTAAGCGAGATATATGGTAGGGGAGAATAATGATAATAATGAAAAGTATTGTTATTACTGAGTATGTTGAGTAGAATCACCACAACGGCTTTTATCACCACATTTAGTACGGCTTTTGATCTTACGAAGATCATCATCTGTGTATGAAAAGTATTGTTATTACTGAGTATGTTGAGTAGAACCACCACAAGGGCTTTTATCACCACCTTTAGTACGGCTTTTGATCTTACGAAGATCATCTGTGCGAATAGCAAAAGCAGTAACACCATCTTGCTCGCGCACCAAATAGTGGCATTCCGAACCCAGACATGGTTTTACGAAATAATTGCTTTTTCTTCAGTGTAAGATGCTCGTTCATATATACGGTCAATATCGATCCGATGAGACCTAGCTGGTCGGTCTAGAGACTTTTCAGTTTTCACCTTACGAAAAGCCGCTAGTACGTTGTCACGAAGGATGCGCGATGAAAGTTTCACAACAACATTCTTTTTTTTTCCGGCTTATTTGTTTGACGAAGAGAATGGGGAACTCTATGGATTGACAGGATATCTTTCTGAGAAATTGGAAAGTTAATAGCCATACTAATCGATCCCATTATGTTTAACAAGTTTTCACTGCGAGTTTCAGGAATTTTACAGATTTCGATGTTACATTGTCTGGCTTGTTGCTCTAGGTAATCGATTTTAGTTTCCAAGTTGCTAATGGTTAGGCTGGATTGTTCGGTAGATTGATGTATTGTGCCGTCCACTTTTTTTTGAAATCGTCTTGTTCCCCAGAAAGAAACTGCATGGATGCTTTTAATTCTGAGACATCATGGGATATATCAGCATTTTGATGCTTTAGACGCTCATGTTCAGCACGAAGGGAGCATATCTCCTCCCTGAACCCATTCAAAGCAGATTTTAAATCATCATTAAGTTCAGTTATACTCGCCTCCATCTCATCTCGCCAGTCATGTAGTGAGCTCTTGATATTCTCCTTGAATACAGTTAGTGTATTGTTGATATCGCTTCGCCATTCCTCAAAGGTCTTATGTAGTTCCTGTGTCATGGAAAGTAGCACCAGTCTCCAGGGCAACACATTCATGGACTGAAGTAGCTGGTGTGGTCGGAGTACAAGGATTGTAGGATGAGATGGGTGTTTGGCCCTCGATTTCATATGACATATTCATGTTATCATCCAAAGGTATTTGCGTGGATCGCACGGGCTTAAGCAAGTTGGATCGTCCACGACGGGTAACATTATTGCACGAGAGACATATCCAGGCTGCCTTAAATTCTTCTGTCAGTGAAGAATATTGTTGCTGCTTAATATTAAGGCATTCAATGTGATAGATACCTTCGCAGGCATGACAATTCAGCAGCCTCGCCCTCGGCTTGCAGATTGTATTACAACCAGCGCAATTCATTTTTAAGAAGTTGTAGTTTGTAATGTTATTATTGTATACTCCAAGCACAAAGAGCGCCACCTTTTGGTGGCACGGAAACTCGATCGATGTAAGTATCAAGGATTGCAATTATTAATATCGATATTAGAGAACCATAATTTGTCATCAATCATAATATATAAATATCATAAACACATAGATGGCGTTATTTACAATCTTGTAGATGAGATCAACGACATTGATTCAAATCGAAACTAAAAGTTTTTACAACAACCGTCAAATTTCACACGATAAAAAGTTTTGCAAACTACACTTAATGTAAATAGTAATTTATTATTGCACTTAGGTTTACGTTAACATATGTTACTACTAACAAATGTTATTAACACTGAACTTTATTATTTACTTATTAACTTGTATTAACACATCATTTAATATTATTTATTGTGACAACAAACTGTATTTAATATCGTTATTTCCTGCACATTTCGTTAATGAGAAGACTGTATAACACTTTTACACATCTAATAAGGTTTTTATTTTGCACTAAATTAATATTTTAGTTTATCCGAGCTGTTTTATAATTTTAATAACAGAAATACACGGAGCTGATCTTAACCGTGGCAACTAGCGCCCTCTGAATCGTTTAACCGATAGTTCCCATTAAACGATCATGTGGGGAGATCTGTTCATGATTTTTCTTTAGCATATGGTCTGACACAACTGGTTACTTTGCCTACGCGGATTCCAGATGTGGATTATACACCTTCCCTGTTGGACCTTGTTATGTCATGTCATGTCATGTCACTTCAGCTTATAGTTCATTTCAAATAGCATGGCAGGATTGTACTTGAAGCGGACATTAGGCGATAACAAAAGAAGTGGTATTTACAACCGATACCTGGGAAGACCTTATCCTGACGTGGTATTTTTGTGGCAGCAAACAAGTTTTGATGCTTTTGTTAAATACACGATGACATTGTTGTCAAAAATTCAGTCGTCTTGTAACTTCGTTATTACACAGACGTACAAATAAACATGTTTCGACCATGGGAAATATCAAATAGTGCATCTACAAGTGATGAAAATAGTGTTCAGCGTAGAAAAAGACATTTAAGTTCAGACGCTCAAGACATAGTTTTGAGTGTTTACAATAAGCTTTTGAAACGCATGGGTGATAAGGGAGTGATTAAAGAGACATCGGAATTAACAAACGTGCCTATAAGAACTGTTTGTAGAATAGTGTCAGCAGGATCTAATCATCTTCCTCGTAAACGGACCAAGATAAGTTTTAAAAGAATTGATAATTTTACAGAGGAACATGTGAGGAGGAATATTTACAATTTTTACCTCAACAATGAGATTCAAACGTTACGTGAGATTTATCAATCATTGATGAGAAGTGAAGCTGGTTTTGAATATTCAGAAACTACACTCTGGAGACTATTAAAAAAACTTGGATTCAAGTATGGAAAATTAGATGAAAGAAGAACTGTAATGGAAAGTCCCCGACTTTTATTATTAGGGAAAAATTTATTAATGAAATACGTTTACGAAGGTCGGCAGGAAAAAATATAATATATTTAGACGAAACATGGTTTGACACTCACGATACTCTAACAAAAGGATACACAGACAATTCACCAAGTTGTACAACTAAAGCTCCATGTTCTAGGGGTAAACGTTTAATAATATTACACGCAGGCGGTGAACAGGGCTGGATACTAGGGGCTTTATTGATCTCTAGCAAACATTTGAAAAGCTCTCTAGCAAACATGAACATATGGATTCTGGATTATTCGAGAAATGGTTCACTGATCAGCTTTTGCCTAATATTCCCAGCAGCAGTGTGATTGTTATGGATAACGCATCATACCACAGCCGACAAATAGAAAAAATTCCCAGCACAAACACTAGGAAAAGTGACATAATAAGTTTTTTAAGAAGTCATAACATTTCTGTGCCCGAGAAATCAACAATTAAAAGTTTGTTGGAAGTAGTCAAAAACAATTATTTTGAAAAAAAAATGTGGTCGATGAATTAGCACAAGAGGCTGGTCATGAGATAATGAGACTCCCACCTTATTATTGTATATTGAACCCAATTGAGTTAATGTGGAGTCAAATAAAAAAAAAACTGTACGTAAGTCAAACGTTACGCCTACAATAGGGGAAAATGTAATCCAAAGTGTACGAAACGTAATAAATTCTACAAATCCCATTTTTTGGAAGAATGTTTGTGACCATGTCATAAGAGTGGAAAACGAATTTTCGAGGGATCGGATACAACCATTTATAATAAATACGTGTGAGGACACAGATACCGATGAATGTTCTTCAGAGTGATTGATTAAACAAAATATTAACAAGTTGTTATAAGTATTTAAAATAGTTAAGTTAAAAGTAATAAAGGTTTTTTATCTACAATTTAATTTGTTTAAATGTTCAAGTACCAAAATTCGTCATTCCAGCTATACTGGTTCAGTATTATCAACAGATGCTTAACTTCAAGTGTTAAAGCAATAAAATAATCACACAACAATAGATTAACATTACAGCTGTAATTGCTAAGTCTCAAGTGGAATCCTGCCATCCTATTTGAAATGAACTATACTAATCCTTTGGGCTATGTCAGTCACTCTGGTTTTACTGCGGATATCCTCATTTTTGAGTCTATCACGCAGAAACTCCGAGCATAGCCGTCTCCATAGCTCGCCGAGCGACCTTGAGCGTCCTCATACGGCCAGCAGTGAAGGACCACGTCTCAGATCCGTAAGTCATCACTGGCAATACGCACTGGTTGTACAATCTAGTATTCAGAGTTTGAGGTATACTTGACGAGAAGATGTGTAATTTACCGAACGCTGCCCAGCCGAGTTAAATCCGTCGATTGACCTCTCAGTCGAAGTTGGACTTACCTAGTCGGACTATTTGTCCCAGCTAAACGTACTCGTCAACAACTTCGAGCATAGTGCTCCCAACAACTACCGGCATAGATGTGACATGGACATTAAACATGATCTTTGTTTTGTCCATGTTCATCTTAAGACCTATCCGTTGGGAGACACCATTGAGTATAGTGCTTAGGTCCTCCAGCGATTCTGCCATAAGGACTATATCGTCGGCAAATCGAAGGTGAGTGATGTACTCGCCATTGATGTTAATACCGTATCCTTTCTAGTCCAGTAGCTTGAAAACGTCTTCCAATGCAGCGGTAAAGAGTTTCGGGGATATAAGGTCACCCTTATTACACATCTCTGCCGTTGGATAGGTTTCGAACTCTGGTTCTGTACTCGAATAGCCACCGTAGCCGTACTGTACAAACACTTCAGTACTTCGATATACCGACAGTCAACTTGGCACCGCTGAAGGGACTCATAGTCCACATATGCCAGGCAAAGGGGCAGATTGTACTCTTCGGTCTTCTGTACAATCTGCCGCAGGGTATGTATGTGGTTTATGGTACTGAAGCCTTTTCGGAAATCGGCTTGTTCGGGAGGCTGGAAGTCGTCAGGTCTGCGTGCGAGACGATTCCTAATGGCTTTCGAAAACGGCACGTAGACGGGGTTTAGAAGGGAAATCGGTCTGTAGTTCTTCAAGAGAGCGTTGTCGCCTTTCTTAAAGAACAAGACCACCGCACTCCTACTCCATGCCTCCGGAGTAGTGCCACGATGGAGGACGGAATTGAAGAGCTTCTGAAGGACTTCAAGTACCGGTGTTCCACCCACTTTCATAAGCTCCGTTGTAATTCTATCCTCGTCTGGGGCCCTGCCGTTTTTAAGGTGCTGGAGAGCCATTCTAATCTCGCTCAGACTGACGTCCGGGATATGATCGGAATAGTGTCGGATAAGACTTGCTCTTGGATCGTTACTCACACTTGCGTGTGGCTCCAACGATGAATTGTACAGCTGCCCATAGAACCTCTCAATCTCACTCAAAATCTCAGGTGTCCCGGAAATGATGCTGCCACACTCATTCTTCAGCTTTGACAGTTTGCTCTTTCTGGCAGACAGATCTCTGGCAAAGACTTTGGAGCCCTGGTTTCGCTCGATCGCTTCTTTAATACGAGCAGTATTAAGGTTGCGTAAGTCTCGCCGCATGCATTTGGAGATCTGTCTATTCAGTTGCCTGTATGCTGTCAAATCCGTTGACGATTGCAGCCTCATCTCCCGTCTAACAGCCATGAGATTAAGAGCCTGATCGGAGAGTTTTTCTGTTCTTCTGCGGCGGGTCTTGCAGAACTTAGCTCCAACCGCATGGACAGTTTCCACGAGCTTGTCATTCACATCGTCCACTGCATTGCAATCTTCTAGGCACTGAAAGCGGTTACGTAACTCGAGCTGAAAGGTTTCGGGATTCTGGATTAGAGCACGAGGGGGACGGATCGTTGACTTCATTAGACGAGACCTCTCCAACTTAACGTTTAGGTTCAGTGTGCCTCTAACCATTCGATGATCGCTGCCAGTTTTCACCCTTGCGATCACTGAGATATCACTCAACAGTTGGCGTCTGGTCGTCATAATGAAGTCAATCTCATTTTTCGTCGAACCGTCGGGGCTCGACCAGGTCCACTTTCTATAGGGCCGCTTCTGGAAGAAAGAGTTCATCATAAAAAGTCCCTCTTTCTCCATGAAGTCAGCCAGCTGCTGGCCTCTTGGGCTCCGTTGCCCTATCTCAAATTTTCCTACCTTCAGCTCACAGTTATTTCTTGTGCCTAGTTTTGTGTGTTGTGCAGTGCGTGGAAGTCTCCCATTAACACCGTATAGTGAGTTTTGGAGGAATGCATGGCTTTAGAAATATACATTTCCTCCACCTCCTCATCGGGATGTTCCGACGTTAGCGCGTAAACCTGTATGACCTTCAGTGAATACCGTTTGGTGATTCTGAGTATAAGGTAGGCAATCCTCGTCGATACACTCCAAATCTTTAAAACGTTGTTAACGAGAGACTTGTGGACGATAAATCCAACACCTCCTTGGGACAGATGGTCGCCCTCCCGGCGATAGAACAGGTTGACGGATT